TAAGGGATGACTATCCAGGTGTAGTGCCGTTATCGTCGTCATCGGGAGGATCCGGCTCAGAGCCAGGCTTGGGTTTTGATTTCGACATTGGATTTCTTGCGAGTAGTAGAGGTCGTGGTCGCACGGCAGTGCCGCTACTACCACCTCCACCTGCGACGAGAGCTGCGTCGGAATCTTCTTGCAGAAAGTCAGACGGCGAGAGGTCAATCTGCCAAGACGGGAGGTTGTCAGGGCACCTCGCGCACGCTGAAACAAGGTCGAGGCCGGCGGTGATTCCATCAACCGCTGGAATCTCGTGGTCAAAACCGCGCTACCGTCGTCGGCTTTCGTCGATCCAGTTGTTCTTGTCCAAGGTCGGGCCAAGACCAGAGTCGCGGCGACCTAGAGACGGAAGGGTTGTGTGAGTAGATGGGAATGGAGAGCTCTTCATCTTCGAGGTCTCTAGTCTCTTGTTCTACTCGGGTTTGTTGAGTGCTAGTTCGCGTCATGGTCGAGCTTGGAATTGGCGCAATTTTCGAAGTGATCTGGAGGTCAACTTCGAAAAGGAGGAGCGACAACCAGCGAACTGACGAACTTGCAGGTCAGGATCCAGCTCGAAGTGCCACATCATCCTTATGTACCAGGATTGCGTAGATTCACTAGGATTGGTAGGCGAGACTACAACGTAGGTTGTCTCTGACCTGGTCGTCGTCGTCCAAAGAATGGCTTGTCAGCCATTGGATTTCGACGTGGAGCTCAGCTCAAGCTTGAGCTTGCGGTCTTGCGGTCAACACCATCATCTTGATGTGACCTGATTCTCTTGTCTGAATTTGCCGAAAAACGGCAAGATCCAGCTCTCATCGTCTGACCATACGAGAGAGGTCAACCATCGGTTTTTCGAACGCAACATCGCATCAAACTCACTCCGCTAGCCAATTACGTGAGGTAAACAACCTCCACCTAGTCTCGGCTTGGGTGCAAGTGTGACGAACGATTTGGGCTCATAACCTGCGAACGGAGGCCGATGTGCAGTACGATGTAGACATGGGATGACACAAAAGAATAAGCTAAAAATTAAAAGGGGATTCTACGTCTACCTCGTTCTAGTGAGTCCCGGGAGGTTCACCTCGTGATTGCCAACCACCAGCTGGTTTTGGCTCCTCTCGCAGGATTTTCTGTCACTTTTCTGTCACTTTTCTCGCGACAAAGATCAGAGGATCCACGATGACTTCCACCTCTAGAACCGGTACCACTAGCACTCCTGCTGCTGGCACTCGACTGACCCAAGACCCTACTACTACTATTACCAGTGGTACAACGGCAGCAGCTCCCTTGGGTGCCCAATTGGACGTTTCCATCTTGGACGATTATTTGCATTCCCTGCTGTTGCAACAATTCTTGTCCTCCATGGATCCCTTGTTCGCACCGTCTGTTGTCAAACACGAAACCCTTCGCACCATTCGCATGATTCTGGCGGCTCTGCTTCCGGCTGCCACGCTGTGGACGACACAATTGCAAACGCCAGGAACCAAAGCGGTGGGGTTGCGGACCGTCATGGCCGGGAGCAGTAGTGTGGTAGCCACCAAAGTTCGGTACATTCTCGTGACTGCCTTGTTGCCATTGGGCTATCAAATATTGCAACGATGGATGGTGCACTTGCAAGAACAACAACAACAAGAGGATACTACGGAGAATGAAGATACCACAACAGAACAGCAACGGATTGGCCGACAACGAAAGTACCACCTAATTCGGAACATTTCCAAATGGGTCGAACATGGACTGCCAATCTGCAAGTTGGGACTTTTACTCTCCCTGCTATGGCAACCACGACAACAACAACAATCGTCATCACTCCCTCCTCGATTGTCCATGATATTGGCAGGGGTTTCCTTTATGAGTGCTGCTACCGCTTCGACAACTGCAGCATCGACTGATTCATCCTCCCCTGATTTGTCCACTACTTCCAGACATCCTCGGTTCTACGTCTTGTATGCTCATCGACGGTGGTTGATGGAAGAATCACTGCAAACCGTTCGCCTCGTGTTTGGACCTGCCATGACATCGTTGAGAGAATGGAGGCACGTTTTCTACGCGCAGTTACAACGATTCCTGCGGAGCTGGACGCCAACGAGACGCCACCTCTCCAACACTGATGATACCAATTCACTCGATGTACCTTGTGCACTGTGTGGCAAGAAGCCCATTGCCATTCCTTATGAAACCGATGGTTGTTCCCATGTTTTTTGCTACGTGTGTCTTTGGAGCCATGTTTCCAAGCACAACAACACAGTATCATCCTCGTTCCGGCCATTCACCACCACAACGGCAACAGTCCAAGGGTCTCCTTGTCCTGTTTGTCAACAAGTCATTCGGTCCAGTCGTCCAGTTCCACTACAACGGTATCGACAAGCAGCAAGAGCAGCAGCCAACAGCAGAGCGACAACAATCAACAGCAACAGCAGCAACAGCCATAAATCTTGAGAGATGCCAATGGCTCCTCATCGTCGAATCCTGGTATATTCCCATCCCACATATACACTAGCCAATCCTTCTACCCTACATGTGCCGTACATGTTCAGTCCAGCCATTGTGATGTGCCATATCCAACTCACGAAACGTCCTTTCTCCATGGAGCCTACACTATTCGTACTGTACGGTTCCGATGCAATGTTCTCAAGGATATGTGTGCTGCTCATCCTTTATTTGGACGACGGAAGATCGATTGGTGCCAAACGATATGAGACCGCTGAAAGAATAATAACCAGGCGATAAATCCAATTTCGGTAGTTTGTGCCTCAAGAACGACGGTTCGACAACAAACGAGCTGGGCTGGTCCAGCGTATTGGAATATACTGAATGCCTGCCGATTGGAATGCCACGAATTGCAATAGGATGGCATGTTACACAAGACCAACCTCATCATCAAAGATGGGGTCTCCCGGCTCGACTCGTTTGTTTTTGTTCGGGGAGGCTGGACACATACATAGAGGTCGGCAACCCTTGGCTGTAGGTATTTCCTACAGGACCGTAACTATTGGACATGTGTAAAAGAATCACAGCAGCTATAGGTTCGGCTGTCCCTCGCTCGTTCACAAAGTAAATAATCACTTCTCGAGCGAGCAGCTTCCAGGACTTGAACAGTATACACAGTGGCAGCCGCATTCTTTTTGTGCTAGCGTAAGCGCCAGAGAGGACTCACCTGACTGGGGAGTAACTGACTTTACCTGGTTAATTAATTGCCATTCAAAAGCTCATCCAAGGATCAAACATCCGAGTCGACAAAGAAATATATCACTTGGAAGCTGGAAATTTGGTGCAGGGGACGTATAGAGTAGATTGTATTAATAAATGGGATCATCTTCTCTCTTAGCCATTTGTTGTGTGTAATCACTAGTTTCTCAGTACAGGGCTATTGCCACATTATCAGCAGTCCCTCATGCACCCGCATTTTTGGATTCTTTTTCTTGTGACTCTGTTGCCGTTGTTGTGGTTGTTTCCTCCGTGGTTGTGGGCGGATCGTACAAACTATTCTTGGGGAAATTGCAGACATCCTTGTACCATGGTTGGGAGAATGTCAATACCAGAATGGGTCTATTTGTATCGTGCGTCGTATTGGCCTTGCCACGATGCAAGACTCGATAGTCAAAGACCAAGACATCGCCCTCGTCCAACAGTGGCGCCACGGGTGGTCTCAGTTCCTTGCGTGCCTTGGCGGCCAACAAGAGGGGTGCCAGATTGCGGGTGTAGACATGACTGCCCGGTCGAAATTCGGTCGGACCCAAATCCAGTGATACAGGAGCAAGAGGAATAAAGAGATTGGCCACATGGCAGGGCAGATGTTGGCTTGTACTGACATGACCTCCATCGGCATGCCAGGATTGTTCGGAAGCCCCAGGAGTGGAGACTACCAAGGATAAATGACAGAGGGAAAGATCGTCCCAGCAGCTTTTAGTAGTATTGTTAGTGTCAACGTCATCCCCCGACAACAGTTTGGGAATGACAGACAACCGCGATTGGAACTGTCGAATAGAGGGAGCCTTCTCTTGACAATGCAGCAGAGACAACTCATAGCGACCAGGAGAACGCATGACAATCTCTCGAAAGCCGTGTTTTACTCCCAATCCCAGTGCATACGTCTCGCCATTGTAGTGGCATGGGAATGGCGTGTGTCCTCGTTGGTGCAACTCTTCAAAGCATTGCTCAAAGTAGTCGCTGGCGAATTGTTGCCATTCCGACAAGAGATCCTTCGAGAGCGCATTCCGAAGAACCAAAAACCCGTCTCGAGCAAATAACTGCTTGGCAGGATCATCGTCGTCATCATTATCCCGTGGAGAGGCCTCGGTTGTGGGAGGTGGCTTCATGCTACCGGTATGGTTGTCTCTTGTCAATGTGACTCGCCCATGGCTTCTCGAACTCAAAGAAGCAGAACCGGTACCACAAGCTATTGGCACTTCCACGTGTAATCTTTATTCCGTAGAATTGAGGGCCAGCTAGTTAGACTAGCTACCGGTAGAGCAGCGAAGTTATCCTATGTGCATTATTATTTTATCCATCACAAGATACGAAAGATCCAAAGATCCAACGGCGGCCACGGCGCCACGGCAAGCAAGCACCAAGCACCCAACCACCTTCCCAAAACCATGTCCGCTTCCAGCTCTAGCTAGATAGCTAGCTAGTAGTAGATCTCCTCCAAATGCAAGCGGCGGCTTGTGCTCGGATCTTCCACGACGAGCAGCGGCGGGATAGAATCGCCAGAACAAATGGGCAGCTGTTGCTTGTGGCCTTGTCAAAGACTGGTCCTTGTGTCTGAAGCCACTTTTGGTCTTTTGGAAGCTATTGATTGCGTCGCAAGCGTAATTTGGGTTGACTTGACTTGCTCTCTATAGATCGGCAGAGTGCAGCGGGGCATGATGCATTCGCAAAGCTTGACGGAAAGCAAGCAGTTTCCATGGTGGCTACCAAACAAACCATCATTCCCTGATATTCATTCGTAATGAGCGACGGGTCCATGTTTGTTGAATTACAAATCGTCGTTTGGTTCTACTTTGAACGACCAGCGTGAAGTCGTTTCCCTACCGTAAGACGCAGCCCTCGCATACGATACCACCAAACGAAGTGACGGGATTTGGATCTGGTCCAGGTCAATGCCACCGTACAAATGGGCTGCGCTGCGCTGTGAAGCATTTGAGAGCCAAGCTTTCTGCCAATGCCGCATCGAGAGTACATCTGACATTCGTTTGTAGTGAATGGATTCAAACGAGACACCCAACTCAATCCACGAGAAAACTCATAGTGACTCGGTTCTTCGTCGAACAAGGTCACCAAAAGCAGTGTCATCCTTGAGACTTGCGGCGCGCAACACAAGCCGTTCCAGACTCTGAAAGGCAGCGCAAAACTTGGCAGCAACATCCAACTTTAGAATGGGACATTCAGGATTCGCAATCACCTGCATGCACTAGATGTTCTCTAGAGGGGTGCTCCAGCAATTTCCAACGCTTCCGAGTTGGCCGTACCTTCCAGCTGTTAGTGTCGTGGTGTACCGTATTGGGAATACCTTGGTAATCTTTTTTCGTCCACGATGCCGAAGCCCTTGACATTCATTCCTTTGGTATCGTATCCACTCCACAGGTACCTGGTACCGGTATGTCAAGGATGCTGGAGCTAGGCTATCCTAACATTTTCTACAGTTGGAATGCTTGGGAATAGCTAAAATCGTATGGATAGATCCAATGTCGAACACTAGATCCAATGTCGAACACTTGACCGGTTCTGGGCCAAGAACGTAGGGTTCGGTTGAGGATCCCAAAGAAACCACGCGCGGGTTGCGGGGATGCTAGATCAACTTGCTGCGCAACTGACTCATGCAACGCTCATCGTCAGTCCGGTACTATCTTCAAAGGTTGTCTAGTAGCTGAATGAAGATTGCTGATGGTTTGAAGCTCGTCGTTGGATCGACTCTACTCAACTCCAGGCGATTCGACGTCGATCAATCAGAGGAGGATCCGAGCGCTGCCACATTTTCGGGCCGAAGATTCCACTTTTAGGTCAAGTGGAGCTACAATATGGGTCTATAGAGGTTGTAAACCTCCCCTCCAGACTAGGATCCAGGCAAAGGCAATGGCCCTGGTTATACCAGAGAGGCCTGCTGCATGTATCACAGACAGACCTACTTCCATCCAATTTGCGACGACATCACTGGAGAGGGTTTCGATGGGATCCATTTGTGTCAAAGCAGGAAAGGTACCACTCGATACTGCAAGCATGGAAGTATCATCCACTACTCATCACGCTGTCCCACCGAGAGTTCGCGTTGGACACATCGAAAGAACTCCCGGCTGGCCCCTAACATCGGCGACAAAATTATTTATGGGATTTCAGCTGAAGAAGCCACCGATGGACCACAGGCATTGTGCAGAGACGGGCATCTCCGTTCATTGTAAATGAACTGACCCACGATCCGCGCGTCAACTCCGCGTGGAGACGGTGCGTCTAGGTCCCAAAGCTCCATTCAAATCCTACGGTTACACAAGTGCTCCGGTCCTCACTCTTCAACTTAAAACGGACCAATACAACTGAATCGATCTCCACAACACAAACACCTAGTCCACCATGACGACTCAGAGACATGGTACGATACCTGTGACGACTTGAACTACTCACCGAACAGGTCCAAGACAACTCAGACTCGGTACACCTCGTGCCAGACGACCTGGCGTTCCTCACGGCACGAGTGGCCAAGTTAGACTGGAAGCCAAACTGCGGGCGGCAAAACCCACTCCAACACCATCCGCAGCACAACACCGGCTCAGCCCCGCAAGAGAACGTGCCTTCGTCAAACAAACCGCGAGTGGAAGAAGGAGTGACCGCATCATCATCTCCAGCAACGACAAGTACAACGGAACGGAAGGGTACCATCCAAGGAGCCCGCCCTGGCAGATGGCCGTTCTGGGAATCAAGCTGGACCCCAAGGGTGCCTGGCGGGTATCAAATCGACGTATACAAGAACGACACCGGCTTCCGCTTTATGAAAGCAGGTAACTCTACAGCCGGGTCGGGACATAAAAAACGCAGCAACAACAACAACAGCAGCAAACACAGCAACACGCAAAAGCTCGCCACCTCCCTGGCAGTGGCGGCGTAATTGGCCGGCTTGGCCGGCCGACACGGGAGGATTATATCTATGGTCAGTTCATGAGGGTCTGGCTCCGGCGGAGGGTAAATTGGATGGAAGTAGGTCTGTCTGTGATACATGCAGCAGGCCTCTCTGGTATACAACAGGGCCATTGCCTTTGCCTGGATCCTAGTCTGTAGGGGAGGTTTACAACCTATATAGACCCATATTGACATGATCTTGTATAGTCTAGTAGCTCCATTGACCTAAAAGTGGAATCGCCCACCTTCCCAGACAGGGAATGAAGAGATTCTACAGAACGGAGAGTATGAGTAACAGGGAGACGACCATAAGGGAGACTGACGGACAGGAATCCGGGAGAGCCACTCATTCAAGGATGAGGTGGTGGACCAAGTGTCGGGTGCACAGGTGGTGTGCCTATTTGGTGTTGATGACTAGCTTGAAGGACTACTAATCGGGCCGCTACAAATCAGGTTCACTTTTTCTGAACCAGATTGCAGCCGCCCGACACCAATTTTCCTTTTTCCCTTCCCTTCCCGCACCGGGT